TGAGACTATAGTCGAGAAGATTTACGAAAACTTCTAGTCGAATGGAAATCAAACAAAAACGGTAACGTTTTATATTTCATTAATTCCTCAAGCAACTGTTGGCTGCATAAAATATGAAATAGAATCTATATTTACCTATCGATCATAAAAAAAAAGATTGACCCAGTAAATATAAAATAAAAACTGTGTAACGTACGTTTCAATGCAACAAGTAAAATTTATTATCTAAAAAAAAGGATCTGTCGTTTTTGATGGCAAATGATAACAAATTCATAGTATTAAAAATATATATATTGAAAAAGATGTACTTCTTGGAGTAAATATATTGTGTATCTCGTAATTTACAAAAGGAAAAAAAAACATTCTTATGTATAGACTTTTTAATGTATAGTTAACATTTGATCCGAATAACTTCTCCCATCTCAATGTTAAGAGCAGCCCGTTCCTTTTAATTTTTAATTTAATTTAATCAATATTTTATTATGTAAGCAAGATTACATAATTGGATTGGACATCAGGCATGGCCTATATAAGTTCTCTCCAGCCCGGTCCTCGTGGCTGCAACAATCCATGCCCGTGTTGTGACTACTAGTCATTTATTTGTGAACAAGCTTTATATATTTCACGACATTTGCAATTTTGATCAGCAGGTTAAGTTGATCGACCTTGCAATTTCCACAAATAGGGTGTTCATACTTCCCAACGATTTTTTTCTTTTTATTAAATTTCAATTGCACCTATACATTTTTTTTTATTTATAAAAGGATTTCTTAATTATCTCATCATAAGAATGAAGAGACGTCAAAAATTATGTTGTCGCGCCACAAATACAAACGGAGTCCCTGAGCATTCAGAATTTGTGTCAACATAGAGATTTATTATTCTGTTTAGAAATATATAATTAAAGAAAAAAAAAGTCGTTTTCCTGATTTTAGCAATTCGGAAATGCATTAATTTTTGTGTGTGGAATTAAGGTCACTTAACTTGATCCTATATCTATTTTGTTTGCTTCCTTCCATACAGGGTTTAAAAATGTGATATCGGATTTAATAAATATTTGTGTCAATAACTAAATGCATTTAAAACATCTCATTTTTGTCAGCAAGAAGAACAATTTAAAAGTGGATGCAGATTCGAAGAATGATTTCAAAATTGAACATATTTGTTGGCTTCTTCGGTAGATTATTGCGTCATTGTATTATTTGTATGTTAAGTCATATTTTTTTTTCAAAGTTGTAAAAGAAAATAAGGAAAGTTTTCTTTAAAATCAAGATTACGTTTTTCTAATTTTCAGTGTGGATTATTAGTTTGAACGTCTTCTACAATACTACCTCAAGTGTTACAAATTCAAAACATAGGTGTGTCCTTCCTTGGAAAAGAAATTTTGAATTAAGAAGCAATGCAACTGATGAGACCAGGTATGATAGTCGTTTTATATTCTAAACTGGAATTATGCTACTTTTGTCTACGAAAACCATTCATTTAAAGGTTTTCTTAATTTTTTTTATTGATTAGTAATATTATGAATGCAAGTATAATTTTACTTTTGATAAATAAATTTTACAGAAGTTCTTTCGACGGGCTGAGAAATATAATAACTGATTTTTTACATATTCATGAAGAAGGTAAGATATATCAAAATTGGTTTTTAAAATAATTCACCAGTATTTTGACATAGATATATATTTAAAGAAAGAAACAAAATGAAATATATCGAGATAATGAATAGTATTCAAGCCCAAAAGTCCACCAATAGGAGTAGAGCAAACACGAATCTCTAAAACATAAGAGGTGGGATCAGGTGCCATCACCATATTTATATATAATTTGTGCAATGAAAGTTGTTAATACAAAACACTTTCTAAGCATTTAATAATAGGTCTTAAAAGAAAAAAAGGTTATGTTAAAAGAGATTTTGAATTAGTTTTTTTTTTTAAGTTATAGTAATGTGCATATTGTAAATAATATTAATATAATATTTACCTTCCGCGATACACGATATAGGGATACATTGTACTTGCTGTTTTATGCTATTATATCCATTCACCTAATGGAAAGACATTATTCTCCCCCTAAAACGTACTTAGATTTGTGATAATCCAATAGTTATTTAATCTCTTGTCCCTCTCAACATTTCAGATGAAAGTTGGAATATTCATCTTGACAAATGTTCCAAAGATATCAACTTTCTACTGTACTAGACAAAAATGAAAGAGATGTGATGTTTCTTTGCATATTGGTAGAGAGATCGGAAGTATGTTACATATCCAATTGTTCTTGTCAGAAAAGGCAAGGAAAACGAGAAACGGTGTGAGCTCAGAAAATCAACAAAGCAATATTTACAGTATAAAACAGTTAGCACTTTCAACCAAAATGTAACCTATACAACCGTTGACACTCAAAAAGGATACAAAGGAGAAAATGCTTCAGTCAACGAGGAATGTTTATACAACAATCGAATAAATAAAGGTAATATATAATAAAGCTATGGAAACAAAATTATTACCTGATGTCATAACATTTAGCTAAATATTTTAGAAAAAATATAATTGGAACTTGAATGAGCACCTTAAAGCACCAAATTATCTTTACAAATCATCCGCATTCATTATCAAAATATTTAAAAAACAATATTTAGTATGAGCACAAGATAAATATTTGTAAGAGACTTTTCTTTCATAAGACCTCAATTGAAGGTTTGCTTTTTCATTGATAATTTTAATGACAATTTCAATAATTTCATGCATCAGACACATATTAATAAGGGTTTCGACAATAACATTTAAAAAACATAAATACGAGGCTGTTCAATAGATGCTGTCTTGAAGTCAATGGCATACAAAATGGAAATCATATGAAAATATTTCCATTTTCAATTGTTTTCTCTATGATAAACACTACAAAAGTCCATCTAGTAAATTTCTTGGTAATACCTGTGATATGTTTATTCTCTATTGAAATACTACTGAAAGGTCCAGTGTCAACCTGCGTGTAAATGGGTGGCGTATAAATGCACTGAAGAAAAAAAATAGATGCTATATTTAATTGTTTACTAAGTAAATATATACATGTATGATATATCTTTTTACAAACAAAATTAGAAATGAATTATCTTCGGAGCAAGTCTCTAGCGCAACGGTGTCAACTACCAACGAGCACGGAGAACTCCACTTCCGTAAACAGTCTATCTAGAGCACGTGGAGAAATCGGCACAGCCACACTCCCTCATCTGATACAGACATCGTCCCTCAGTCATTACCATCCGACTTCGTAAGCAACTTAACTTCTTCTGTTATTTTAACATCGACACAAATCGCTTTCCTGACCAACTCCCGTTTCATTAACTGCAACATTGCATTCAATATGGCGACGGAGAAGTGGCCTACACACGTGTTTGTGCTTCCGACAACCCAAATTAAGGTCACATATTTAATCAACGTTAACAAGATTGCTTTGATCATAATTTGAAATTCTTTAAGATTTGTTGTTTTTTTTCATAAATGTTGACATTTGACTACAGTAACTAAACAATCATTGAATTTGTTTCGTGTTTTTATGGGACCATTTTCTATAGTAAAATTTGACGTCAAGGGGCGGAGCAATGAAAACTAACATGGAATGCCTCGTGCATTTCAAATTTACTAATTAAGACGGTATTTTGAATTATTTCAAAATTGTTATTTCAAGTAAAAATGAAAATTAAAGGAATCACCATCTAGTTAGGAGACTATGCCATGGACATCAACAATAGCGGGCTTCACCCGTTATGCAAATTATCCCATGTTTCCCACTATTGTTTATGCCCTGGCATAGTCTCCTAACTAGACAGTGATTCCTTAATTAAAACAGGTTTCTCATCATTTAAAGCTCTACTGAAGTCTTTTAAACTGTTTAATGCCGAATTGGAGCCGGTCAAATTAGTTTTCGATAACCTTACTATCTGCTAACCAGGTCCTGCCAAATTGTGTGGTCACTCACGACTGATATTGTCAGTTGGTTCCAATCGCATTGGATATTTCCAAAGGCCTATTACAAAAACACCTAAGAATTTCTCAATAAAATAAAAAGGTTCCGATCGAAGTATCTTCAGTTCTGAAATAAAAAAAAACATCTTTTGAAAGCGTTCTTGGTGTTGAACAATTCTGACAACACGCAGTTACACAGTCACAGAAGTTGGTGCTTGTTCAGCTGCAGTCCACGTGCATACACTAAAAATTGATTTCCTGGTTGTAAATTTCCAATACGAAGGTAAGATAAACGCAATCTGATTAAACTTAGATCCTTTGATCCGCTCACATAAAGATCGCCACACAAGGATCTGAAAAAAAAAAACCCATAAAGGGAGTACCTACTGCGACACGGGACCTCGGTTTATACGGTCTCATCAGAAGGACCGGTCTCCACGCCCCACAGTGGTATTTGTACCCACGATGTAAGGATCAACTCCTCACTTCGCGACTCTATAGCAGACGCTCAAAGCCACTGCACCACAAGGGCGACAAAAAGGATTCATTAGAAATGGTTGAGGAAAAATGACATTATAACCCATCAATATTATAAGGAGTTAGAATGAAACAGAAGTTGATGAACCAAGAATTTTAACTGTCCCTTTTAAAGGCATCATTTCCTAAGTTCTATGGTCGATGCAATGACCTTGTCATCAAATACAATTTATCAATGGGTCAAATGCTGACTGACGTTTTTCATTCTTTTTGTTAGTCCATTATTTGTACACTGAATTGACAACGGATTTTTCCGTTGCTTCCCGAACATGACGGGGAGCACACAGCAGGTGTGACCGGTCAGCAGGGAATGCTTACTCCTCCATGGCACCTGATCCCCTCTCTGATGCTTCGGAGGTCCGTGTTTGCTCTGCTCCTATTTTGTATTGTTTTATTGACCTTTGATCTTGAATACTGTTCGATATCTCCATATGTTTTTATTTGGTAAAAATTTTGCACAAAGACAGAGAATAATTTTTTTAAGTTTCCTGTTAAATCAGAGCAGGGATATGAATTGAAACCAAGGCTAGGACATAGTAAAATACACTTCTTTCATAGATTTTATATACTTTAACACTACAGTATAGAATTGTAAATTAGGTTGTTGTCTACTAAGTTTACCATCAGTGACAGAGATTGGTTTACTTAGCAGTGGGTTGCGTATGAAAAGAAGACAATTAAGGAATACACATATACATTCAGGTATTAAATTTTAAGCAGTATATATTTTAATTATTTTGAGCTATTCCAACTTACCTCTAGAATGTTTTGAAACTAAAAGTAATAGAAAAATATCGCTTTCCTCATTTGGGCAATTCGGAAATATTGAGTGAGGAGTTCAGGTCACTTGACTTAATCATAAATGTATTGCGTTTGCTTCCTCCTATACAATGTTTAAAAATGTGATATCGGTTAAGTTAATAGATATTTGTGTCAATAACTAAATGCATTCAAAACAAATTAACTTTGTGAGCGAGAAGAATAATTTGAAAGTGGATGCAGATTTGAAGAATGATTTCAATATTGAACCAATTTGTTGGTTTTTTCGGTAAAGTATTGTGTCATTGTATTATTTGTATGTTAAGTTATATTAATTCTTTTAAACTTGTAAAAGAAAATAAGGAATTTTTTTTTTTAAATCAAGACTTCATTTTTCTCATTTTTAGTGTGGATTATTGGTTTTAATGTCTTCTACAATGCCACCTCAAGTGTTACTAATTCAAAACATAGGTGTGCCCTTCCTTGGAAAAGAATTTTTGGATTAACAACCAATGCGACAGATGAGACTGGGTATGAGAGTTTTTGTATGTTTTAAACTGAAATATTGATTATTATTTCTACGAAAACCATTCATCTAAATATTTTCTTTTTTTATCGAGATGTAATATTGGAATTTTTCGAGTAGCACTAACCTTTACAGTTGACAGCTTACTTTTTACACTAGAGCAATGTACGGAAGCTCTTTTACGATAAAAAGATTTTGCTCAATATTTAATTCAGCCATAATAAAGGATTTATCAGTTATCCCTAAAGAAAACGACTACCACACTACCCTCAGCTCTCGGGCTTCACATGTTAGTGCCCCTAACAACATTAGGGGCACTACCTTTGACAACTAATAAGGTTATCCTATCAATTATCAATTCTGTACCTCCGTACATGATACAGGTTGAAATGTCAAGTTAACCGTCAACTGCAAAAGCCATTGCTTATTGCAAAAGTCTATTATGAATTCAAGTATAAATTTACTTTTGATAAATACATTTTACAGAAGATTTTTCGACGGATTGAGAAATATAATCACTGGTTTTTTATATAGTCATGAAGAAGGTAAGATTTATCAAAATTCCTTTAAAAATATTTTACCAATAGTTTAACATAGATGAATATTACTAAAGAAACAAAATGAAATATATCGAGATAACAAACAGTACACAAGCTCAAAAGTCCATCAAACAAGTGAAATAGGAGTAGAGCAAGCCAAATTTCTAAACTATAAGATGTGGGGTCTAGTGCCATGGAGGAGTGAGCATCCCCTCTCAAATAATCAGCAGATTTATATGATATTCAATTTCTGTAATTAAGGTTGATTATACAAAACATTTTCTAAGCATATATTAATAGGTCTTAAAAAATTGCAAAAATTGTAAATGATATTTACTTTCCTTGATACACGACATAGGGATACATTGTACTTGCTGTTTTATGCTGTTATATCCATTCACCTTATGGAAAATTATTCTCCCCCTAAAACGTACATTGATTTGTGATAATCAAATAATTATTTAACTTCTTGTCCCTTTCAACATTTCAGATGAAAGTTTGAAAATTCATCTTAACAAATGTTCCAAAGATATCAACTGTAAACTTTCTACTGTCCTAGACAAAACAAAAAAGGTGTGATGTTTCTTTGCTTATTGGTAGACAGATCGGAAGTTTGTTACATATCCAATTGTTCTTGTCAGAAAAGGCAAGGAAAACGAGAAATTCCGTCAATAATTTTTCTGAATTCGACTAAAGATGAAGATAGAATTGGTGATCGGGATAAATATGATCTACGGTGTGAGCTCAGAAAATCAACAAAGAAATATCTACAATATAAAACAGTCAGCAGTTTAAATCAAAATGTGATCTGTACAAACGTTGTCAAACAAAATGGTTTCAAGGAGGAAAAAACTTCAGAAAAAGAGGAATGTTTATGCAACAATCGAAAAAATAGAGGTATGGGAACAACATTTTGGCATGATGTCATGACATGCACTAGTATTGCAAAGCATTTTAGCACAAAATAATTTTAGCCTGATTGATTAATTGATTGTACATTGTTTAACGTTCCTCTCGAGATTTTTTCACTCATATTGAGCCGCCACCACTTGCCGATGGAGAGCTGCAAATTTTGTTTTGTACTCGACACTCAGGGCCATTGAGCAGGGAGGGATCGTTTTCGTGTCAGCACCTACTGTGACATGGGAGCTCGGTTTATACCGTCTCATTTGAAGGAACGACCTCAACGTCTCACAGTGGGATTTGAGCCGCGACGTAAGGATCAACTCCTTACTTCGTGACTCCAGAGCAGATGCTCTAGCCACTGTGGGCGACGACTGTAGTACGAATGAGTGTCTTAAAGCACCACATGATTTGTACAAATCAACCACATTCATGATTAATATTTTACAAAAACATTTTAGTATGAGCACAGGATAAACATCTGCAAGAGATTTTTCTTTTAAAAGACCGCAAAGGAAGGACTCTGTCTTCAATGAATTTTATTAATGATTGATAATTTTATTGATAGTTTAAAGAAATCAATTTCAAATTTGTATTTTTTCGTAGACTGCTTACGGACGTTTTTCATACAAATTGTTTGACCGTTATATGCACACTGAATTGTCGACGGATTTTCTTTTTCGACGGACATCAGCAATAGTTGGAAACGTGGGATAATTTGGATTAAGGCGAAGCCTGTTTTGCATAAATTATTCTAAGTTTCTAACTATTGCTGATTTCCCTTGCATACTCTACTAACTAGACAGTGATTCATTAAATTAACTGATAACCGTTTATGTGACCACGTTTCTTCAAATAGTTTAATAGCAAGACGTTGGAAAAAGAGACACTGCATTAAAATTAATTGTTAAGAATCATTAAAAATAAAGTCAGAAGTTCCATAAAAGCTGCCATAAAACTTGGTCAGATTTACAAAGAAATATTTACTGAGATATTTGCTGTTACAGCAACCAATGTTTGTTTTTTTTAATAAAATGAACAGGTAGATTTCAATGATCAAAATATATATAAAAAGATGCATCAAAGATGATGACCGTCCTTGGCGAATAAAACTAACAACAAAAAATCATTTCCAGAAAATTGAAGGATCTGATATATTCCAGTATACGGAGAGTATGTTCGAACATGTGTATTATTAAAGAAACAAATTAAATAAAAATGTTACAGACATATGTTTTAATTAATAGAGAGCATCTAAAGGAGATCTATAGCAGAAAATCTAAGGTGTTTTTGTTTCTTTTTTAACATCGGGGACATAACTTATTGAACAGCCTTCGTAATACCAAAAAAAAGAAGCTTTTTGTAGCAATGATAAAATGTAAGTTCAAAATATCAAACGATTATGCAAGCTGAGTACATTTTTTTTAATTTTTCAAACTAGAAAATAAATAACGTGATAACAGAGAAAGAGGCAAGTTGCCATGTAACAGGGTACTGCATTGAAACAATTCAGCCTGGGATTTTTATACTCTCTGTATACTTGTGTGCATGGATGAAGTGAATCATATGGGATGAAGGATATGGAGATAACGAACAATATTTAATATCAAAGTCCATAAAACAATACAAAACAGGAGCAGAGCAAACACGGACCTCCAAATCATCAGAGGTGGGATCAAGTGCCATGGAGGAGTGAGCATCCCATGGGAGAAGAGCCTTGATTTTTAAATGAAACAGAAACATTATTTTTATCATAATTTCATACGCCTGACAGGTAATTTTTAAAGTCATCGGATAAAGGCAAAATAACGTTTTTCCGGTTCAATTTGTTATATGCCTGGAAAATATTGCTCGATTCATGCTGATTTAAAAATAAGTTTTTTCACTCAGAAAATCGAATACAAATCATACCAGTATATTTTAACAGCATAATATTTAATTTTCCTATTTCATTTAAATTCTTTCAAATGGTACTGATATCGCTATTAATTAATTAAGTACAATTTTGTCTGATGCATAGTACAAATAGTGAGATAACATACTGTATTTAATCTCCAAAGTCCATCAAAACATACAAATCAGCACCAAAGAAAACATGGTTTGCATAAAAAAAAATCAAAGGTGGGATCATATGTAATGTAGGCGTGAGCATACAAGACCCTGCCGACCGATCACACCAGCCGTGTGCTCTTTGTCATGGTCGGACAAATGAAATATTCCGTAGTCAATTCAATAATGGGTTTATACATGAAATAAAATCATATACTTATGTTTTTGAAATTGTTTTTTGTAAAAATTTAATTACGTTTGATAAAGTTAAAATTACACTTTTAGATACTAACATGGGTATCAACGCTCTCTATTTCTTTGGCGGAACAATGTTGGGATTGTTTTTTGGAATAGGTATCACTGTAGCATATTTTAAAAGGTAAGAATTCTATTCTTGCTGTTGTTGAATAAAGCATAGATATTTACACAGATATATGTATGATGATACTTCTTACGACAATGTGTGTAACAATGACATTATTAAGTGAAGCTATATAAACATGATCTGCTTATATTGCATTCAATGCTTTGTGCCATCACAAGTCAATTGCACATAAAAAAAGCCATCTCCACAAGAAAATTTATAAATATTTATTTAAAATTTCTTACATGGAATGATATTGGTTTGCATTGTAGAAAATCTAAAAAACCAAGAGTTTTATCGGTTCGTAACATGGTATATAATCGGGAAAGGACAGACAACGAAGAAATCACTTTCAAGGAAATTACTGAATATTCTGAAATCCCTAACAGTTATAGTAATATTGAAGTAAGTATACTGAACACACATCTAAGAACAACGATGTAGACACATGTATAATGTGTAATCTGTGTTTATTAACAAAATTTAAAATCGAAATTTGTAGGAAGAGGAAGCACTATTGGAAGAAAAGAGATTGAAAATTGATTGCAAACAAGGTAGAGATGATTGTGCTGAAACACATGTTGTACAATCCCTGACTGTAACAAAAAGCCCCAGCAGCCCAAGCTTTGTGGAAAATTCACAACCACTACAATCTGTTGAAGCTTTAAAAAGTGAAGAATGTTTGGAACTTACCACTCACAATTATTACAGACAGTTGCAGGTGGATAGCGATCTTGTTAAAATTGAGAAAAAAGAAGACGAAGGTTGTTCATTAGAGAAAGAAAATCATTACGTCAATGAAAAGGATGGTGCAAATCTAGTTGGTCCTAATGCCGAAAATGTTAATCATTACTCGATCTTGATCGAGAATTCCACAGAAAATTGTAAAATCTATTTACCACAAGACAAAAATAGTAGGTCATCAAACCTTTGCAAGTTTACTGATGATTACAGTGAAGAGGAACCAGCATACTATGTTTTAAGCACAACTCAGACAAATCCACCCGTTTATACCAATACATGTGATTAAGCAGCGACCAGGACACTGTTCAAAACATAACCCGTAAAAAACTTCTCCCAAAAGTGGAAGATTGATTAAGGGTTTGAATTTACTTCTCTTTTTCTTTTTACTAAATGTTTAAGCTTTTTTTTTTTTTACTTTTCACAATTTCATTTAACCTTTGGAGGAACTTTCAGCAAAAAAATGGATTTTCTATTCGTTTGGATGCAAACAATGTATACTTATTTCTCATGACAAAAAAGCCCTTACAGGGCAGGTGGAAGCATCCTGACGGTGCAGGACTGAAATACTTTATATTTGTGTAAAAATAGAAATTGTAAAATGATCACTACACATTTAACTGCGCCATCATTTACTGTGAAATGACAAATTTTCATGGGGGTCTAATTTTCGTTGTTTTTAAGGTATGGAGAGACCCACGAATTCATGTCCACTACAAAATGTAAAATGTTACATACATGACTACTCAACAATTCTTCATCTATGATTTCAAATTCCTATAAAAAAAGTTTTTACTCAAAACACGAAAAAAAAAAACCCACGAAAATATGTTATTTTACAGTATGAGTAAACACAATTTTCTCTTCTCATTCTTAGATTTTACATCTTACAAAAGAGAAAAATATTCATAAAGTACTCATTGTGATAAAGTTAAATTGAGAGAAAAGCAGTTATGATTTTGTTGTAATTAATAATTGAATTTCTGTTATTTTGAAAATTAAAAAGATGCATTCTGACTGGATAAATTATATTCATCAAAATAAGGGCAAAATGTTCATGCTGACATTCATTATTTGTTTTATTCAACAGGAAAAGGCACTATAGGGCTCAACATCCCGCATTAAGTAGATCCTGATGTATGTCACTACTTTCACATAAGTATATTTCAAGGCAGATATTTATGTATTTTATTTTTATCCTGCAACTTATGCATTGGCCTTATTAAAGTAACCAAATTAACAAAAGATTTATTAATTGAATTGTTGAGATGTTCCTAAATCGTGTTCAAGATAAGTCCTTAAAAGTAAAACATTGACGTCTAGACTCATGACAATGCTATGTTTGCTATGTAAATTTACACGAAGGCAACAATTTTAATGAAATAAGATCAAAGTATTCAATAAAAATAATGTAATAAATATTACCGGAAGTAACGTCGAGAAACAATTTGATGCAACAAACAGGAAATAAAAACGGTGTTCCGGAATAACTCGATCGATACACGGCTATTTAAGGAAAATGATATTTCAAGAAGGCACTTTAAAATTCATACAATGTAACTTCCTCGTACAAAAACATCATAGACAACTGAAAGTATATCAAAACAACTCTGAGTATTTAGCTAGCGCGCTTACGAATGAGCTCTAATTAAGACTCACTTAATGCCTGATTTTCACACACTTGTGGTCCGGTGACTTTATTTAAATGAAGCAGGTGTCTAAAATGTTTCTAATCTATCGTGAGAAAGTGTAGAAAATCTTTTTATATGTATCTTTATTTACAAACTTTTGAAAAAGAAATAGGCTATATTAAATTTACTGAACTTTCTTAAGAAGTTTTTTTGAGAACCCACATCTGACTTACACTTTATTTGGAAAACATGAACAACATCGATAATCACAAAGACGATTTGTATTCTAAATTTCCTCTGCTCTAAATTTGTTTTGTTTAATGGACTTTTGAGGTTGAATAATGTTCGTTATCTACATATACATATACATGTATTTCATTCGAAGAATCAATTTGTAGTCTTGCTTTAGTTTCTTCATCTATTCCATTCAACACTCTTAATAGTTTGATTTTAGTTATGTTTTGAAAGCTCATTTGCTCAATGATGACAGCCATACAATCGCATAAAACAAATAAACTGCATAAGTACAGATATTTCAAGAAATACAAACCGTACGATCAGAGATCTGTGGGGCACACGTTGCTGCGCATAAACATCGTACATTAAAGAGGGTGGAGACGAGAAAACTGAAAAAAAATCTCAAAACTTCACCACATCGAATATCCTTTTTCTTGTAATTCTTAGTTTGAGGGGGGGGGGGTGTCGATTCTCTGGTTCGCTGCTTATAGTTTTTACAACTGAATTATTTGAAATAGATATATCTCCTACAACAAGGGGTCTATGTGAGGGCGGGGGTTAAATATGGGATTTGGATTGGGGCTTTGAACGAAAAACATAAATCAAAAATTCATTGCTGAATCGGCAACTTATCTACTTATCTACAATCGTACAATGTACTGAAAATAAATGACGGTCACTATAAAGGCTTCTGATATAATATGGAATCATTTTGAATGTATCTCAATAAAATCAAAAGCAGGTTAATTAATTTAAAATGCGATGCCAAACAAATTTTGTAATTTCTACCGAGGCTTTTATTTAATTGGGTAAATTATGCACATATAACCCTCCCATTATCAATGCAAAATAGCAGAGAATTGAATTACATGTTTTTTCAATAAACTGCATTGTATATTTAACGACATTTTTGGGTTTTTTTTTCCTTCATTAAAAATTCAGTGAAGAAAGTGACGTCAAATTAAATCTATTGCATTACGAAAAGTAACGTCATTTTGATGTTACAAAAATCGACAACACCACCTTACACAACGTCTATATAATTATAATGAACGTAGTCGCCATGGTGACTGCAAAAAGAAATATATGTGATAATCCTTAAAACTGCTACTCCTGCTACAGTTTTAGTCTGATTTCGGTACACACGTAGACCAAAGTGAGATAATGTAGTGCATCATTTTTTGATTCTAATGTATGGTGTTGAAATGGTCACTAAAATAGAATATTTCTTTGTAATTCCTTCAAAACGCTACTCCTCCTACAGTTTTGGTATGATTTCTATAATATTTGGCTCAGAAGTAGACTACTCACTGACAAAACATGTATGCATCATTTTTTGATTTTGATGAACGGAGACGCCATGGTTACTAAAAATATAAATTTTGTAAAAATCTTTTAAAATGCTACTTCTGCAGTTTTGGTCTGATTTCAAAATATCTTGAAACATAGGTGTCGGAACCGGGGGTGGGGGTGGGGGGTAAGGGATCTCAGCCCCCCCCCCCCCCCCCGCTTTTTTGCAGAGATAGACATAACATAGAGATTGAACACTAGGGCTTAGGTTTAGTCCCTCCCCCAATGTCAACAGGCACCTCGAAGTTTATGTCGAAAAAGGTAATTGGTTGTGCTTGGAAAAATGTTGGTATTGATAAAACGTTCGATCCTTAACACCCCCACCCCCCATGAATTAGGATTTTTTTTTAAGGTTTGAATTTTTTTCTCTCACGTAGCACCCCCCCCCCCACACACACACACTTCCTACGCAAATCTGACACACAAATTGACAACATAAAGATAAACGATAATATTTATTGCTCTTGCAAACTCTTAAATTCAATTGCAACTTTTCTCTTTCTTTGCAAAAAGTACAAACCAGTAGAGCTAGAGTATCATAAAAGACTTTTGCTTTTTTTATGTTATTTGAACCCTACAGCCAGACAATATTTTGTTGAATAATTTTTTTGTTTCTCCAGTTCTAATAATGCTTATTAGTCAGCAGAGTGTACATTCATTTCAAAGACAGTATTTATGGTTTTACAATCAAATTTTTCAAGAGCTTTAGTTTAAAAGCATTATTGTACATTAAGAAGTATGAAAGGAAGTATCTATTATGTCACTGATGTTTCAATTAAGGAACCGTATAAATTATGTCTTTTTAATTACATGTACATAAAATGCTAATGGGAAAATAAAGAAACTGGTAAGCCAATTGGAATCATCGACATCAATTAACTAGTATGTACATCAATCAACATATGGACAAAATCAGTTTTTTAATGTTATAATATCTATTTTATTTTCATTTTCTTCCTTTTCAGGCTAAAATTTGCCAAAGCAGAGGTTAAACACAATTATTCTTCAATATGTTTTCAAATGGTTAAATAAATGCGTGTTTTATCGAGAGGGTCAGAGTTTTGATTGATATCTGAAAATATTTCAGTATAAAGATTTGAACTCAACAGATATCTGAAATTCTTACATGTACCCATTTCGAAAAACAATCCGATTTAAACTCTGATCTTAGAAAAATGACTATTATAGATTTATACTCTTGTGGGAGCTAATGGGTCAGATGAACATCTGTTGAAGGGGGAAGTATTTTAAGTCTGTAAAAGGAAGACGGCAATTAACGTTGGGGTCAAAAACTGTAATCATAGTCACACCACTAAAAGAATTGAGCATGTTATACAGCGTTCTGAATAAACAACAATGCCCTTCTATCCGGTGTAAAGACGAATAAAGACGAATAATGACCCCCATCGAATAATGACCGGGGGTCATTTTTCAACGACAAAAAATGACCCCCCATCCGTAGAAAAAAATCATTTTTTGTAGAAAATGGGTCCTAGGGGTCATTATTTTATATGTTAGTCCTATAAAAAATTGACCCCCATTGAAAAATGACCCCCTTGAAAGTGATACAAAATTTATAACAGGTGAAACGAAACGTATGCTGTATATTATAATTGTTCTTCCTTCGAGTAATTCATGCATTTGTTCGAATAGATTTGATCTTTGTTCTTCTTAGCACGTAGGGGTAATAAAGTTCCTCATTTCTCTCTGCCGAAATCTTGAAAAATCAGTTTTAAGCAATCAACAATCAATCAATTAATCATCATTTCTCTGATAAAGGAGCAAACCTAGAAAATCAAAGATGGTACATGTAAATGGATCAAACGCACGCTGAGAGAGAGAGAGAGAGAGAGAGAGAGAGAGAGAGAGAGAGAGAGAGAGAGAGAGAGAGAGAGAGAGAGAGAGAGAGAGAGAGAGAGAGAGAGAGGCATACCTTTTCCATAATTTTAAATGTATGAATAAACTTTATTAAGAGATAAAGTTTTTAATATTTTTCTCACAATATACACTGTTTGATATTTTTTTACAGCGAAACAAAGTTTTACATTTTCTGTAACCAGAAAAATACAAAAAGTCGTATGAAATAAATAAAAGAGTCACGTAGTCTTTCAATGCTAAAATTGTGTTTAAAAAGAGATTCTTTAATTGTCAAGTAAATAAAATTTCTTTTTAATATTCCTCCTTATAATATTTGCTTAAAGAATGATTTTCCACTTGTTTTTAGAAATTAAAACCATGCAACAATCAGGTTTTAATACTTACTCTTTAATAGGAAAAATTTATTTTTCCTTCATTTCAACTTTTAACTTGTATAAGTTTGGCAAATCATATTTGACAATGAGAGAGGAGGAAATTTTTATACCCCCCCCCTCCCGAAAAAGAACATTAAGTTAAATAAAAAAAAAAAAATAAATGAAAAGCAAATATATATATATAAAACTCTGTACCTTTCAATACATGCGTTACAAAGAGAATGAGGACATTTTTAGCTCTTAAAAAAATTTAAAAAATAAACTGTCCTGATTTCCTTCAAAAAACCCACTATCAATAA